CTTATCTATAAGTGGAAAACAAAAAGACATGCAAACAAGTGGTAAGGCTGAAAATGCGCGAAAAGTCTGTTATTAAATGTCTCCTCCGTGCAATGAAGTAATGACACATGTATTTGTTGGGCCAGAAACTTATCACTTTGTCAGAGCGACGAACATCATAATATTCAAAACCTAGCGAAATTGCCTCGGTATACGGTATTCATTTAGTGTCCACTATACAGCTTTAAAAGTATTCATTCTCCAATGAGACTAAATAGATCATTTGTTTTAGAATTTTTTAAAGAGCGCGCTGTTCCGTCAGGTGGGAGCTGTCAGGCTTTTTGTTCTCGAAGAATCAATGACACTTTGCCTGAGGGTCTAAAGCGTCCCGAACGGCAAAACTCTTAAATAGGCACCCTGTACTTACCCAATGCAGTCTTCTCAAATAGTTGCCTTTGGTCCACGGTAATGACTTGAAAAGGTCCTAGGCAGAGAAAATATTTTACACTCACGTGGTTGCTGGATTGTGCGTGGATTTCAAATAATAAGACGCCTCTCTTAAGTACAATTTCACAACTCATAAATGCAAAAACTTCTGACCGCCCTGGAGAGCAGGAGACTAGGCTGAGATAATAAGGCGTGTCAATTACAAGGGAGGGGACTGTACAGCACTAGATTTCAATGAATTGATTCAAGTGGTTGGAGGCATGGGGGGGGGGGTTGGTTCAACGGTTTTGCGCAAGGGAACCTCCTGACTTATGCAGCACCTCCAATTCCGGTGAATATGTTTTTCTTGCCCTAGAACTAGTCTAATATCTGATAGTAAGCCAACGATCGTACATTAGTGTTCTCGCCTGGAACTGTTCCGTCTTATTCGGAAGTGTAACGTTGGTAAACTTATTACATTTATCAAGCGTTTCTCCTCATTGAACGAAAATAATAATAATGAAATACAAAAGAAATCTCCTCACACAACTTTTGAACAAAACTTGTGATTTTTTAATGATATTAGGCTATTGACAAATTTTCTGTCCTTAGCAATCGCAGTTTTTATGATGTTTTCATAGTAGTATATGCATGATTCTTGTATTGATAATTATTATCATATTCATTTTCAGTTGAACGACAATCGTTTGTTTTTCGTACATCAATTTACTCCTAACACGATATAATCAAGCACATTATTCTGTTTATAAAATATCAGGGAAACAAACAAAAAAACGAATCGCGTGTCGTTCTCCGTGGACGCTAAAGTCAGAGGTTGGGTAGTAGAAACGGGAAATTGCATCACTATAACAACGAATATGAACGCTAAATGATCAGAAGTCCTCATTATGGCTGTGCGGTTCCAATTGATTAGTCGTTAGCGTGCATTTAACACGGACCAAGGCAGAAAGAGCACGAGCCAGCAAATACTGCTTGCATAGCCCCGTTTAATCAACACGAAACATGTTTGTGTTTCAAATGTAGTTGTGATGAATTATTCTATCTGTGCTAGCGTTCGTTTCATCAGAATATTAAATCGTGAACACCCCTAAAATATACAGAATGGCTTAGAGTATAGAGTGATTATGGACCGATCAACGAAGTTGAAAGGACGAATTTTTAGAAGCGGAAAAAAAGTTGATATATTTTAAAGCAGGTTTGTGCACTTGGCGGCCCGCGTTGCCATTTATTGTGACCTGCAAAAGACTAGTAGTCAAAACTCGCAAGTTGGACACCCTTGTTTTGAAGAATACGTGCGGTGTTAATGCGACTACTGCAGAGGGCGAATGGCAACTTAGCGAATACCCACCCCTGCAGCACCATTTGCAGCGATACTGCTAATGAAGCATTGGCGTGTCGTGCAATGAGACTTGGTCAGTTACGCAACTGAGGAGGTGGAGAACGGTACCGCGCGGAACGGAAATTACTCAGGAGTGACGCTTTTCGAGGGCTCGAGCTTTTTCCGCTTTCCGTCCAGCAAAGATCGTCCCGAATTTGCATTCGTGTTGAATTCACTGTAACTGGCACTCGAACTTCTCTCACACAAACGCAACGAAAGCAGAAACCGGAATGTGTATAACGATGTGGACGCTGACACCTCACTCCGCCGAAGTGAAAGTACTTGTACGCATTTCAAATGTGCTCACGACAGAGAATGTCAGATCCTGGATCTCTCCGTGTGTGAGAGCGTAGGCTATTATGCACTCAATTAAATTTGGGATTTAATTTCATATGAACATTACCATAGGCTTGCGCGGCCTAAAACAAGACGGAGGGGACGATTACATTTTTTATAATAGAGACAAAATAAACGATATGAAATTATACATAGCCCTGAAATCGAAGAAAATGTTTAAATCTAAAATGTGTAAAAATAGTGCAGGTTTCCATTTTCAAACACTGATATTTTTAAAGTTGCAAAAGTGTACAATGCGAGAAAGTATTTGCTACTATAACACGACCACTTTGATAAGAATACAAAGCTGTCTCACATTTACTGCAAATAAAAGAAGCAAAGTTGAAGATTACTAGTAAAGATTAAGTCAAACTTAATGGTGTCATAAAATTGCACAGAAATACATTAAAACTCGCTGTATTTCGATGATCCAGTCGATCAAATAACAAAACCTACGAGAAAATAATGAAATCATATTTTTTTCCGTTGACTGAAGAAATGCAATTAACGAATGAAATGCAACGAGGCACACTTCGTGTATCCATTGAAAGCTTCTGATGTATTATTAAACGAAATCTACGAGTTATGTAACGTATTAATAATGAATAGAAATTATTATTTGTTACAATAGTGAAGATTGTTTTAGAAGAGAAGAGTAGTAGAAAATGTTTCGTTTTATTTACTTGAAGACCAAAATATTCTGAGATTTTGATATCTTTTTCGATTAAAAGTAAAAATTGAAAGGCTGAGAACCTTAGGTAAGGACCAAACCGTGAATTATTCTAGAAGAGACTAGAAACACTATGAATGTTTATAACATAGACCAGAAACTTTAAAAAGGATATCAAGAAATGAATATCAATCACAAGAAATAAAGTAAAAATGTCTGTAATAATAAAAGTGAATTCAACGACATGTAACAGGCACCGATACAATTTAACGTAGATAATGAATAGATACAACATTTTTAAAGACACTTATTTAAGATTGTCGCAGTGTCCTTGCAACATTTGTTAAAGAACAACACAAATGGGGAAAATAAATAATTTGTTAGTAGATGAACTACAATCAAAATTTTTAAAAATTATTTGGAGAGCACAAGTTGATGCACATTTTGCAGCATACAACTTCCCGTCAGTGATACTCTTCACACCTAAAGGTAAAAAATGATCTCAGTCGCTGACAGGCACCTCCCGCTACTGAGATAACTGAAGCAGGCGCACCGGACTGTGAGGACATCCAACCGTCTCTTCAGGAATCGGAATACCCAACGCGCAGTAATAATGTAGGAAAAAATGCTGATTTAAAATAAAACTACTTTTTTCGTAAAAAAAGTGTAGTAATAAAATTGAAGGATATTGATAGAATAAAAATATTTCGTAAAAATAGCAAAATGTGTAATATAGTACTAAATATGTAACGAAAACATTGTATAGTGTGTTAGGACGGTGACGAGATTATAGTTTTGAGAACGGTAAGTAGAACGACAAAAAAAAGCAATTTCATAAAAATCCGGTCTCTACTCATCAGTCGACGCGTGCTGGTCGAATTCGTAAAATTATTCCGAAGAATCCTTTCTTCATACTAAATCCTTTTAAAAGAGGAGAAAGATCAATTTTATATAAACCACTGGATTTAAGGTTATAATTTTTAAAGTATTTGGATCAAATACTATAATTTACTTCTTCTTAGGGCTTTTTCCAGCCGACAGCCGGATACCCTTGGCGTCCCGATGGGACGCATATTTGACCAAACACTAGATACAAACAACGGTAGCGTAACGAAATAAGTGCGGACCTGTCCGCAAAGCTTTTATCCGGGTCACCTTTATAAACCACAAGTAGTGTTAGCACCTTACAAGTAGAGATGTATAGCAAACACAAGTAGTGTTTGTACCTTAAATAATAAAAATATATTCTAAAAATAGACCCTCTTTTACCTGGGCTCGAACGTTACGCCACTCATTAACACACTTCGCGGGCTCCTCGGATCTGTGATCAACAGAACGCGAGGCCCTCCGCGACAACACATGCATGAGAGACAAGGGACAAACAACCATGCCCAAAGCTGAACTCGAGCACGCAATCCTTCGGACCGAAGCGCTGAGTCAGTACACGATCTTAGCCACCTCGACCATCCAGTCGGTCTATACTTTTTCTTTCATTTTTTTGTACAATACATTGCTATTGCGAACTGCCCCATTTTTTAAGCGTTTGCTTGCTCTATTTGATGAGGAGGGGAAAACAAAGCAAAACAAAAAATAAACTATTTTTGAATAAATTTTGAAAATGAAGATTTAAAAAAAGTCCCTCCCCCATTAAAATATTCGTTTCAAATTCAAGGGACCATGACATCAGCTAAATCAATGAGAGAATATTAATTTAGGTGAAAATTGAGCTTTCGGTTTAGCCGACATTGTTTTCACAGATGGACGGTCGGACAAAAATATGTTTTGACGTAAATCAACTTTTGGGGTATGAAGGTCCCACCAAACATAGATTCTGACTACACAACGTGTTATAGGATGTAATTTACTACTTATAGACTTTCTGTCCGAAAATCCCTGTTTTCCCCACTTCATTACAATACTTTCTCTACACTACGTAAGCAGTATGCAAGAAAGTAAAAAAAAAAAAAAAAAATAAAGATATTTCAGAGCTACTATAAAATGTCAAACAATAGGGGGGAGGGCTGCCGACGTACTTGGTTTGCTTCTGCATTAATCTCCCGTCCGCAGCCTCTCACGTAAAGAAAGCGTCCACCTGCGAGTGGACGTCGTGTAGAAGCGCGCAGCCCGCGAGAGAATGGTCGAGGTGTACGCGGCAGGGAGCACGCGCAAGCGGCGAGCGCGGGGCCGTACTTGTGGCGTACGCGAAGATCAGGTAGAGCAGCAACAGGCCGCACAGCAGCCCAAGCCCCACGGCCGCGGCGGGGGACACGCGACGGAACAGCGGACGGAAGCGCCGCCGCCCCGGGCAGCACGCGTACAGCATGGAGCCGCGTCTCGCGCCGCAGGCTCAGCTCCCGCTGCTCACGCCGCCGCGCCGCCTCCTCTGGTCACCCGACCCCCGCGCGCAGCCTCGCGCTGCGAACACGACGGGCGCGCGCGCCGCGCTGCCACGGACCACGCTGCACAGCGCAGCGCTCGCGCCCGGCGGCGAAATGCAGCCGGGAGGGGGGCATCGTAGATTTTTGTTAAATAGTAAAACATTTGTTATCTTGTATACTATTTATGTTGTGAATGTATGATACTATACAATATATTTTCTTATATTACATAATTCTCTCACACATAAATATTTAAATCAACTTTTGTCAAATAAAAGAAGGTAACAAACGAAAACTGTTCAGCCTTTTGGGGGAACCATCCCTCCCCACCTGGTTCCGCCGCTATACAGGCCAACCTGTTCCAGACCTAGTATTAATTGGGACCCCGACCATTTTTTCTCGCGGATAAAAGCATATCTAATTTAAATTAACTCATGTTTTGAAAATGAGTATGGAAAATATCACCAACTCCTGAATAAAAAGTTGCGTATTTTCGTGATAATTGCTTAGTGAAGTTTAAAATATAATTATAAAAATGGAAACATTTCTTTTCAATTAGGCTAATCTAGGTGGTAGCACGCTCCCCCTCCCCCAGGCCTAGTTTTCGTTTGTTACATTTTCTGTGTAAAAATTAACTGAAATATTTATGTCAAAATTATGGAAATAATGTTGTATGGTATAATATATTTACTACAAAAATAATATACAATATACCAAATGTTTACTTAACTTTTTCATGTAATTTGTAATGGTTATGAAATGTAATTCTACTTGATGTGCAAAAAATATTTGGTCATGTTGGGAATCAAATTCATATAACTAAATTTCTGGCTCCACAAGAATATATCTACTCTTAATTTTTATTTTAGTACATTTTAAAATGTCTCAGTATTAATGATATTTTCTCAATTCTTGTCCCTACAAATATATTTTATTTACTTACATGTAACAGTTCAATATGTATTAGTTCCATTAAAGTTCAGTAAAATCTTAAGGGTAATCTTAAGTTGAGAAGGGCCATAACACACTTGCAAGTGCCAAGCAGAATGTTTTCATTAAAGTAAAGATTAATCTTTTGAGTTAACACTTAACTTTTACAAAGTTAGGTACATCCGTTACAGCTAAATTGTTAATTTTTGTTTATTTGCGATAGTGGAATAAACATCTTTTGCAGTTTTAACTTCATTAGCATCATGTATGAGGTACGAATCAAAATGTCAAAGTGAAATTTTAAAACTGGAATTTCTGATTGGAGTGAAGCGTATCTTTTTTTTTTTTTATACATTTTTTAGTTAGGACTTTATTGCTTTTATTGAGCAACTAGCTTAGAGCAAATAATAAAGTGTAATAAGATCGTTGGCTGTTTCAGCTACTGAATATAATATAATAAACATCTACAACTGAACTTGAAGGTTTCAATACATAATCTATAATTAGACCAATATTAACATATGCAGGAGAAACAAGCAAAACAAAATGTACCCAACAACTTTAGGTCGCTAAAAAGAGAGTTCTGAAAAAAATTGCAAATCACACAACTGGATAAGGAATGAAATAGAAACATTAGGTAAGTTTGCAAAGTAAAGCCCATTATGGAATGGGTAGCAAATCAAAGAAAGGAATGGAGCGGTCATATTGAGAGAATGGAGGAGAAAAGAATCATGAAGATTGCTAGAGATGAAAGGCAGAGGGGGAAGATGAAAAGCTGGGAAACCAAGAAGATGGAAAGACTCATTATACTTTTTGGAAAGGAATAAATCTTAGACTTTTTAAGAAGATGAAGACATATCTCCTCCTTGCTCTGTCCACTCCCTCCCAACTCCTTTTGCTTCTTCCACTCCTGGTTCTGCCTTCTCGTTGTGGTCTAGTCAGTGCCGATCCATGTCTCCCTGTGATGCCTGGCAACAACGATGCCCTGATGCACAGGATAGGAGGGGGGAGGGGGAGGAGAGATATTGCTTAAAAAAAAAAAAAAAAAAAAAAAAAAAAAAAAAAAAAAAAAAAAAAAAAAGAGAAAGAGAGAGAGAGAGAGAGAGAGAGAGAGAGAGAGAGAGAGAGAGAGAGAGAGAGAGAGAGAAAGAAAAGAAAGAAAAAAATCAACAACACACACACACTACTCTTGACTGCTCATTCAAGCCAAATTTTGGAGCAATCATTAGAGTGGTACTAATTTTGTGGCATATGCAAAAGTTACAATTTCACTTACACATAGTAGATTTGTATTGGAGTTCATCCATACGTGCAACACTAAAGAATCATTAAGACCCACTTAAAATTGATATCTCAGATTCAGAAAAGGGAAAATTTAATTTAAAAACACAATGAAATTGATTGATAAATGCATTGGATAACAGATAAGGGAATTAAAGGAGTCAAGAGGTGGGAACAAAAATTTCTTTCTGTATCAATATTTCAAAAGATATAAAATATCACAATTTATTTGAAAATCACAGTATAAACCAAGAAATTTATGACAGTATGTCTATTTGGCAAGAGGTAAAGTTACAGTTTGAAAAAATTTTTGGATGAAATTTGCATGATGAGATTCTTGCGTACTATACACATGATAAGTTTTAGGATCCACACATAACACAATCATCACGATTTTTCAGAGAACACACCATGGCTTCCATGTTGCTTGATCTGGCATCCTCACCATTTGTAGTGGTTCCATTCTCTGTCTGAGACCTCTGGCCCACAGAACGTGCAAGCTTTGTTTTATCCACTGTAAATTGAATAGCCTGGGCTGCTGGTTTCGTACGGAGATAATACATTCCTGTCTTAAGACCCTGAAAAAATTTCAGAAGCAGAGTTTACAATATTGCTGATTTATTATATTCAAGAGACAGATTTCTACATCACTCTTACAACTAGTAACATTTCAACAGGACGACAGGAGAAGAAAATTACAATACAAAAATAACAAAGGAAAGAACTGGCAATAGATAGTTTAATTCTTATTCTCTTATTGTAAGATTTAAAATATACCAAAACCAACATGCAGATACATGCATTTTGAAATACATAGCAATAGATGCAAGAATGCAATGAAAAGCTACAACAAACAAACTCTTGATTTACAAGAGCACGCTATTAAAGGACAAGGCTCCCCAATTAGTGTTCAAGAATGCTTTTGAGTACACTATGCCATGGAGGTGCCTGACAAAGCATACATTACTATGAATAGAAAAACTTCAACAAAGAAGTGAAGAAAAACATACAATGGTCCAAGTGCACTTTACACTTCTTTATCAAATTACTTGAATATATTTTCACTACTAAGGACAAACCAACCATGGAATATTTAAACTGATGTATGGGCCACTCAAAGAATAGAAGCATGTTCAACAATTTCCCTTTTTTATGTTATTTTAAACAAATAATTACAGCAAAATATCATGAGTACATTCGCAGTTACTATGTTTTCCTGCATCTATGTATTTCCAAGTCCAGTCCCAGTTCCATTAAATTACTAATTTACACATTTAACAATCCTACATTGGATGTTTGAAGTTTGTTGTTTAGGCTCATCAGCACCATCTTCAATGTTTCATACTTTGGGACCCTTTGGGGTATAAGAGAGTAAATGGGAACTGTAGAATGTATATATATAGTTTTTTCGGTCCATTTGATTAAGAAACCCAGAGCTAAAGAAATGTGTACTACGTCTGTTCTACACTAATTAGAGTAATGATCTAAGTAGTTGATATACCTTAAGGACTAACTCAAGTTACAATTGTGAGTAATTTGTCAATTAATGAGAAACTGATATCAGAATAGGCAAACCCCTACCACACAAGTTAATGTAACTCACCTGCTTCCAGGCATAGAAGTGCATTGAGGTAAGTTTCCCATAATTGGGCTCTGCGATATGAATGTTCAGAGACTGGCTCTGGTCAATAAAGGCTCCTCGAGCAGCAGCCATATTAATGATAATTTTCTGTGGAATCTCCCACACAGTCTTGTAAAGGTCCTTCAGATGTTGTGGAATGCCTTCCACAGCTTGGATCGATCCTCCATGAGCAACAATGAGATTTTTCATGTCATCATTCCACAGACCAGCCTCTGTCAAATCTCTTAACAAGTGGTGATTCACTACCTGTGCAATTATAGAAATGTCATTTTATGTCTGAAGCTACAATGCTTTCTTAAAACTTTCACCTATTTGGAGCCATGACTATTTTAACAAAATGTTATTTAATAATATCAAAACATCCTCAACAAAATTCAATACTGAATTTGGATTCCTCAAGAATACGAATTATTCAACAGACCATACAAAAGATCTTTGTGCAAGACTTTTTCAAATAATTAAATTTAATCAAACACTCCCCCCACGGGGGAGGGGTGGGGAGGGGGAGAGATATATGAATTGGGATACCAACTATAAACAGTTACCTGGAATTCACCTGACAGTACCCTCCTAGTGTAGATATTGCTGGTATAGGGTTCGAATGATTCATTGTTGCCCAGGATCTGGGCTGTAGAAGCTGTAGGCATGGGAGCAAGAAGCAAGGAATTGCGAACTCCATGGGCTGCAATCTTCTTTTTTAATGCAGCCCAGTTCCACAAGGGAGTAGGAGTCACACCCCACATGTCATACTGCAGAATACCTGAGAAAATTGGCAACTCTACAGTTTATACTCGCACAATTAATTTTAATTCACAGAACTGAAAACATCTTCCATTAATGTCCATATGGCATCTATAACAATTTCTTGCATTCCTGTAACTATCGTAAAGTTTATGCAACTATCACAACAGAAACCTCTTTTTTATATACAATTTTTTACTTATTGCTATAGAACATTCTACCAAAATATTTTTTGGATAGGACATCTCCACACACAATAAAAAATTAACAACTTTTTATTCATGTTTTTAAGGACTATTATTTGATTTATAAACCCTGCAAAATTGTCAGAAGCTTTCAATGGTTCTCATACAAATTTCCCTGATTTATCTCTGTTTTTTAGAAAGTGACCACTATTGACCCTTCACAAAATGTGAAGTCTTCTAAGAACCCAGAGGATCCTATCTTCAACGCACATGCTGTTGGATTTGGAAAAAGAAGAGTGCTTAAATGACCATAACAAATATCAGTGCAACTAAGTAGGATTCTTCCATCAGATGTGGCATAAATAAGAAATAACAAAAAAGTTTGTAAGGTTGGACCTTTCAGTCAGACTTAAAAAAGTACATAAAAGTTTTTGTATATGAATTAAATAATGGTAACTAGTTCAGTTATTCCACAATCCAATTTGGAAAGTTTATTTTCAAATACTGTACTCAAGTATAATCTGTACTTAAAAATACCTTTGCTGACAGGAGAACCATCATACGTCTCATAAGGACCATGCTCCTTAGCAAGCTCACAACTTGCTTCTAGAGCAGCGTAATAAAGGGTCTCAAAAATCTGCACATTTAATTTCTGGGCTCCTTCACTCTCAAAAGGAAGTCGCATCAAGATGAAGGCATCAGCTAACCCCTGAAAAAACAAACACTCTCTTTAGTCAATGATCAACAAACACTTCTACAACAGGATCCGTTTGCTCACCTAGAAGAGAAAAACATTTTCTTGACTTCACAAGAGCAAGTATAAGACCACATCTTTTCAGAAAAGAAGAATTAGAGATCCACATTTACTATTTTCAATTTCCTCACACTTAAACAGGCATGTGTGAAGCACTGTTATACTTTATAAGCTTGCTGTATGGCTTATGTTTACACCAACACAGATATTACAACCATCATTGTGAATGCAACTTACCGTGACTATAATTGTTCATGAGTAGACTTCACAGAATCATTCCAAGATGTCCTTTGAAAATATCTGTTACTGACATTGCAATGGTACTAGTGGAAACATTGCTCCTCTCAGTAGTAAGGATGGGGCCAAGGACAAGAAAGAAAGGATAGTGTACAGTCCATTATTTTTTAATAGGATACTGCTCTGACATCTGCCTGGAATTGACGAGAGAAAACTATAGGAATCAATCCAAATGGCTTTAGGACAAGAGTGGAATAGTTGGGGCAAGAAGACAAGAGTTTAACTTAAAGAGTCCATTCAGTAATTGAACACAGGATCCTCCTAATTTACACATTTCGGTTCACACAAGCTAACAGCAGCCATTTAAAACAATCATGGCACTAATAGTATTATTTAAGCTGGTTCAGACTATTCCAAATTACTTGATAAAATAATAATTTCACTTAATATAAATATCTGCAATCCATGCTATTTCAAGATCAAGGTCCCTTTTTATTCCTTAACAGTACCATTATAGATAAAAAAAAAATTACCTGAATGCCAATGCCAATAGGCCGATGGCGCATGTTGGACTTGCGAGCCTCAGGCACGGGGTAATAATTAGCTTCAATGACTTTGTTGAGGTTACGAGTTACTATTTTGGTCACCTCACGCAGCTTCTCAAAGTCAAAAGTTTTGTCATTGAGCACAAACATATTTACAGCGATAGAAGCCAGATTACAAACGGCTATTTCATCTTTATCAGTATATTCGACAATTTCTGTGCACAGGTTGCTCGACTTGATAGTACCTAAATTCTGCTGATTAGATTTGCGATTACAAGCATCTTTGTAGAGCACATATGGGGTTCCAGTTTCCACTTGAGCATCAAGAATGGCGAACCAGAGTTGTTGTGCCTTGACCTGTGAATATAACAATAAAAAATTCGATTAGCATACTTACATGCCAATAGAAAAACTGTTTGGAGATAAAAAGAAAAAGTCTTTTTTGATGTAATATTAGGTGATAAAAATAAAAATGAGCATATACTATTTACTTGCAATTTTTGAGAATATACTTCCAAGCGTTCGATAAAAATAACAGAAATATTAACACAACAAGCATGTTTTCAGAGCTCACAAGAACATACGCACATATCAAGTATAAAAACTGAGGGTTTCTCATATTATTGCTGGAGCCTGGTCCCCTTTGTGCCTCAAATTTTGAGCAGTTTTCTCTCAAGTATAATTTAATAGATGGGAGAAATTGTATGTATAATTTAATAATTGGGAAAAATGTTAAGTATAATTTGATAGTTGGAAGAAGCATAACAATAATTTCATAATGAAGCTCAAAATTATACACAACGACAATTTTCAAAACCGTGAATGACTGGAATGAAAAGACAAGTGATTTCAAATGCATGTTTTTTTTCTGATTTTAGGTTCATATCAATCAGCCTCTTAGTTATGACATTGCTCCTTTTGTATTGCCACCTAATATACCTTCTTCAACCATAGCAGAAAGAACTTTTAACAACACTTTTAACTTTTTCAGAGGAGTATGTTTCTAATAGAAACATGAAACAAAAAATATTGAGTATAGGAGGCCAGCAGGAAGGAATATTAAACACAATTTTTCTGCAGCCACAATTTGCTAAAACTGCAAAATGATGACAAGCAAGGTCATATCAAGAACAAGAAGAAAGAACCACAACCTGTCGAACAAACCGGCCTTCCGCTTCATAGCTTTCATACAGCTTATCAAATTCTTCTCCCCAGCAGTCAAAAAGCCCCGGGCTCTCTTTAGGGCACATTAGGCTCCACACTCCATCCTCCTCCACACGACGCATGAACAGGTCAGGTACCCACAGTGCATAGAACAAGTCTCTAGCACGAACCTCTTCCTTGCCTAAACAAAGAAGTCTTTCATCTTCAACTAGCAACATTTTTTTAATTTAATAACAGCCCATATACACAACTCAAAACTTGTGATTCATACCAAACTTATATTAAAAACATGTTTCAACAAACAACTTTTTGTCTTTATTTAGAAGAGGTTTGAAATTGCGACAAAATCTTAATTCCACTATTCTAAAGATATATTCCAATACCTCAGTACAGCAGTTACTATAACTGCAATATGTATTACTACCTCCTTCAAAGTTATCAGCTATTTTCTTCATATCTTAACAGTTATACCTTTCAAGACGTAAAATGCAAGCACGTACTGCAAATAATTTAGTGTACAATGAGAGAATTGTGAATTATAAATCAAATGTTTATTCAACCAATTTTGGTAACTTGTTTAATATAAAATTATCTTCGAAGACAACATGAACAGAATATCAGTTTTACTACAGGTCTTATATCGATTCTTAAATATAATTAAAGACCAATAGTCACTTAAATTAAGATAACTCATAAAATGCGTCTTAACTCATTTAAAAGACATAGACAAGATTTTATACAGGGTATAAAATTGCATCAGCAGCTGCAGAATATTGCCAGTTAAAGTAACTTCCCTCATAAAGGGTTTCTTATGACCAGGGACCACATTTGCCTGAGTACTTGCAATTCCTTTGTCTAGTGGAGCCTTCGGGTGTTTATTACGGAGAATTTTTTGTTCTCTATGGTTATTACAATAGTGAGGAACTGTAACAGGTTGCAATGTCTTCCAGAAGCCTTTAACATTGCTTTTGAGTGAAGGGAAATTTATTTGTCACAAAAAACAAATCTGTTTCTTTCTGTCACAATAATATAACAAGGTGTTAGGCAGAGTTGTTTAAGATGTCAAAGAAGTGCAATATGAGTGAATGTTTCATTCCTCTTGCAAGACTTGGCAACTACAGCTACAATCATAGCAATTGCATAGCATTTTTTAAATTAGAACACCAGTGTGCTCCAATTTAAAAAATATGTAAATCACAAAATCAATCACTGATGATTCGAGTTTAAGAACTATCTACTATCTTCCATGCATTCTAACCTGTATTTTTCTTAAGGTCCAGAAATGCAAATACGTCAGCATGCCAAGGCTCCAAGTAGATGGCAAAGGCTCCTGGCCTCTTATTGCCCCCTTGATCAACATATCTGCAACATAGCATCAGTGAGGGAAAACAAATACAAATTGTAGCAATCATGTTTAAAAAAAGTAACGATAGTGCCACAAGCTTGTTTGGTAATGTGAACGCAAGGGAAGTGATTCAAAAGCCAGAAACTATACGTAAATTAAATTTAAAGATTTTTTGGGTTAGGGTGTTATTGCACTGGATCCCTCAAATACATATATCTTTATTTTTTGAAATAAAATTACGACGAATTAATGAAAAATTTAAAACTGTTGGTTTTAATAAACTTTTTCTGCCTGTAATGTAATTAAGACTGAATAAATCTCTTAAGAATTTTGGTTTAAGGTAAAAACATCTAATACAATATTTAAAATTCTTATTTAAATCAAAAAAATTTAAATCATCCTCACTTTTTCCATCCCTAGCTGATTTGTTTTCTAAGCTAAGTGAACATTTAACCATTAAGTTCTTTTGTAATTATATCTCACACCCTTACTTGTAGGAAGAAAAATTCACTGACAAGATCTGCTTATTGTCCAGGTCATGAACATTCAGTAGGTTTTGATAACGTTAAGGGAAATGAAGTTCCAAATTTGTTAGTGTAAAAGCAGTTCATAAGAGACTGGGAGGAATGGAATTTTGTCACATCTCCATGTGATAATCTGAAAATGAATCTGTACATGGGTACATGAATATTTTCTCCTTAAACGATCATTCTTTAATAAGGGGGTTTTACAGTCCTTTAAAACTGAAATATTTAAATTAGTAATAATTTTCCCAAATGGACACATACCTAGAAGTATTATTGAACACACGCAGCATGGGCACAAGCCCATTGGAAGTGCCATTAGTGCCTGCAATGTAGCTGCCTGAGGCACGGATGCAGTGCACATTGAGGCCAATTCCGCCAGCTGACTTTGATATAAGAGCACACTGCTTCAAAGTATCATAGATGCCCTCAATGCTATCCTCTCGCATGGACAACAAGAAGCAACTGTAATGAAGGATAATGAAATAAGTAATGGCAATAACGTCAATGTGATGTGGCAAGTATGTCTCTTATATTGCATCATGCAGATAAATTTTAATGCTCCATCAAGCAGAATATGTTTATTATTTTTTTCCACAGGGTTATTATGATAAAAATTATGAGAGATGATGAAATGAGAGCCTTTCATTGCCAGCCAAGAACAATGGCTCCCAAAAACTAACATTTCTTAAATTTGGTAGAAACCTACCTAGAAAGCTGAGGACGAGGCGTTGCTGCAGCAAAGAGAGTAGGTGAAGCATGTGTGAAGTAACGCTCTGAAAGCAGGTTGTAAGTCTCAATGGCTGCATCAATGTCTTCACCATGAATACCCACAGATACACGCATCAACAGGTGCTGGGGTCGCTCCACCACCTTACCATCTACTCGTAACAAGTACGAACGCTCCAAGGTCTGTAAAAATCAACAATGTCAAATAAGCTTTTACACTTATGGACATGTTACAAGTTGTTAATAGAAATAAAGCATGTATTAACATTGAAGCAATGTTCCTGTTAGGCTCTATTTTCATTGGGTTTTCAACAGAGCATTCTTCAGAGATTTCATCAGATTCTAATTGCATTTAGATTGTTCTGTTTATGTATTTATTGAACTTTCTGACTCATCTTCATTAAAATCAGACATTATCTAACAAGTTATTTGAAAGATCACATATAGACGTGTACCTTGAAGCCAAAGTAATTGTAACTGAAGTCCCGATCATAAATGATGGCCGAATTCAGACGATCTGCATGTTTCATGATGATGTTGTAATGATTTTCTGAGATCATAGGAGTCTCTTTCTTAGTGTGAGGATTTACTAAAGTATATAGTTGTGTCATCACCTCTGTAACAGAATTCAACACACAAAAAGTTATTAGTAATATGTGAAATTCAATGACGTTCTTTATCTTGAAAGCTTAGTTCAGAGATACGTATATCAAACATGAAGTTTACAGTACATGGGAAAGTAAAGAAAAAAATTCAACAGAAAATTAAGCTTTTTGCTTTTCTTTTATTTGTTTAAGTTCCAAAAGCTGTATGTGAGAGAAGTACAACATACCTAAAAATTAGTTTTAAAATGAACAGAAAAAATTCTTTTAAATGAATACAATCATTTTTGACTTAAGAAAACGCCAATTGTCCACAACTCTCAAAGTCAAATGGAACAACTTGAAAGGTTCTACCTTTCTGGAAAGCAGGTAATACTGTTTGTTGAACAAAAAAAGTAGTCTATACAAAATGCCAAGGTGTCAAAATTCACATGGGGAAGAGACATCCCATGCAACCATCATTTGAAGAGTATCAGATGTTTATTCCTATGATTTGGGCATAAACATATTACAACAAACAGAAGTTAACCTTCAATTATACGACAATCTTTCATGTAACTAACCAATAAATCTGATGATAAATAAAATTTTTACCCATGCAATGATGGAAATGTTGAAGATGAAATTTGTGAATAATATACAAGAGGGGGTGCATCCAGAGACAAATTTTGGGTGAGGAAATTAAAAACGTTTTGGTAAAATGTGTCACATTGCAGATTTTATAAAATGTTGCATGCTACACTCACCTCTTGCTGTGATACAATTTTATTAGTTTTAATGATTATCTGAAAATATTTTTGCTTGAAAGTTTCATGACAAGTTAAAATTAATAGTGAATATACTGAAAAATTTCAGGGGGAAGGGGGAATTTCCCTCATTTCCCTCCTGATGGATAAGTGCCTGATATAATCATATCTGTGACACACATTTAGATCTAAGATCCTTGGATACAAAGGACCCAATTTTACCCATGGTCAACCTGTTCCAATCTAACAAATTTGTATAACTCATAACAGACAAGTTTGTATTTAAAAGTGTTCAACAACATTAGACAAGGGAGTGTAACTATACAAGTTCAAAATGACAATTAAAGACACTGAAGGCACAATAAAGAAACAACATCTAAGGATAGCTTAAAAAGTCAAAGATATTTCTGCTGAAGGACACAATGGAAGCATGAAAAAGCAATAATGTTTTGGTCTTTGATTTTTGAGGTTTGGCTTAGGGCCCAGTTCCAAATTTTTGTTCTGAATATTCACGAGAGCAGAGGTAGAAGATAAGGGCTTCCTTGCCAAACACCCTTATCAAAGGTGTCTCAAACATTCAGAGCAGCACTGCCAAACTTTTTTTTCCCCTCCTTCTTTTCTCACCAATCTTCTTGAGCGGAACTTACTGATACCTAAGGATGAAGGTGTCATGCGACTATTGTATCACCACTTTAAACTAGTCTGCAAATAATAATATGAAAAACTTAAAACACTGGAAAATTTTGCACATCCAACTGCCAAGTTCACTTTAACAGTTACAATTGCTACACTTAACTGCTTCACTTTAAACACTAGAATAACACAGAAATAACAATATATCCCCTATTATGTCCAGCAGAGTGATTTTGACTTTGAGCATTCATCGGTACTTCTTAAAGAGTAATATTACAAAAACATTTAACAAAATCACTAGCACACTTGAGAATAATAGTTTATTATGTAATAAAGTAACTATGAGGCCGATCCGGTGGCCGAGATTGCTAAGGCAGTAGTGCCGTAACGATCTCGGACCAAAGGATCGCGGGTTCGAGTCCCGCCACGGGCATGGTTGGGTTGTGTTCGTCTTTTCACCCCCTAGATGAACCCCCACCATGAACAGTAAGTGAAGTCAAGTGGTCCAATGTGGCCAATCAAGTTATATAAAAAAAGAAAAATAAAAGATTTCTTAACCCCAATGTGCAAGTGATTGAAAAAAGAACTATACTAAACTTTTGATTTTATATACCAGTTTCACATGACAAAAAAATAGTTTTCCTTTGGACTATGTGTCTCTTTAAACTACTATCTCACAACTGTTGCACTTTATTTGACATTTTATTTTCACTTTTTCATTTCACATCAATGGGAACTTTGTGTGTTACATGCGCTGAAATTCTGAAAACCATTAACCTTGAGACTAAAATTGCAATTCTTGGTCCTTGCTCAGGTTTTCATTGATTTACTTCTGATATAACTGAATGTTCTCTATGTTCAGTATGAACATATCTAGTTGCAAGATCCAAAACAGTAATGACTTGTACAGATCATAGTTTTGAAGTACATTTTGTTTAAAACTCCCAACTGTTTGTTCAATGCGCACTTCGTATTTTAACAAGTTGTTTATAGCTCTATTTTTCAGGCTCACTTTCAAAGCACCTTTCATATTACTTTACAATATTTTCATTAAAATGGAAAAACCATTTGTATGCTCATTTTAGTGGTCTACCACACACTTCAATTGGCTTCTGTATTTGCAGTTTTCAAGCCATTAACTGTTCATCATCCTTGGAAATACCTGCTTATCTGCTCCATTTCCTTTGAGTCAAAATTACTTTGTGAACAGACTTCAGTTGTTTAATGTCATCAGGCAAAGCGTTATAAAGTAATATACATGTATTGTATGTGAATTTCTGGAAGTGAGCGATTGATACTAACACTTGAGGGACATGTGTTGTAATTACAAATATCAGTATTTCATGAAAATATGCTCCCACCATTTAGTAAGACAATATTGACAAATATTACAGATTTGTAAATAAATACGCAAGGCAATGGTAAGATCCAAAGCTCAATGAAGAGGGGCTTGCAGGGATCACACGGATGGCACTTTTTCATTGTTAGAATAATTATCTCTTGCAATCTAAAGGTCTGGGTACATACGATGAGCTTCCCCAGAATATTATGCCATATCTCAGGCAGGAATGCACATTTGCAGAATACACACAACGAGCTAGTTTCAACAATTCAAAAGACTTCTAAATTGGAAAATAGGAAAGAGAACTTCGTTTTAAATGACACAAACATACCTTTGGTGTCTGCTGAAAACATTGACTATGTTTACTACTTATAAAATGTTGCTTTCTTTCCCTTGTATATCCTTATTTAATTAATTTAATTTTGAGGTCATATCTGACATAAAAGCAAAATCTAGTTGCCAAGACATCCCATCAAGCTGTGTAAGTATTGATGATACTGGCATGGTGATTATTTCAGAAACCTTCTGAATTCATCCAGAAGACAGCAGAATCATTTCTGTATTTTCCCTCTAAGTTGGAAAAAGTGAGTTTGCTTATTGAGGGCACTGAACAGACAACTCGGGTGCCACAATGGACATGGCTGATCTACAGCATGCAGTACTTATTAATCCTAGCAGATGACAGCTCTATTGCTGTTTGGCTCAATGTTTTGGGGCCTGTGTTTCATAAAATGTAATTTGAAAATTTTTTTTCTGAAACTTGTTGAAAATATTTTCGTGAAAAACTCCTAATGCAATTCTACACTGAAATATAACCAACATACAACCAACCTGATTTGTTTAACTTTCGTAACATACAGTATGACACAGATCTTCAATCTCTCATCAAAATTTTAGATTTTTAAAATGAATAGAGAGGAGGAAAAATAAAATGGAATTCTGAAACATCAGAACCTGAATTTGTTTGGAAGTTCTAAAATGTGCATAATGGAACCATCTTATTTATAAACTAGACAACAAACATAATCATATTACCCCTTACCACTGAATGTTTTCTTCGTCTCTTTATGCAAATTGGAGACAGCAATACGAGCTGCTAGCACAGCATAATCTGGATGTCGAGTAGTCATGGTGGCAGCTGTTTCAGCTGCCAAATTATCTAACTCTACAGTAGTTACCCCAGAATAGAGGCCTGCAATTACCTTTAATGTCACTGATGGCTGTAACAAGAAGAAATCATAGGCAAAATCATCCTCTACACCTGTAAGATATAAATGTGAAAGCCGATGATATTGGCACTTACAGGATCAACAAAGTCCATATTTAGTCCATAGCATAATTTCTGGATGCGGGAGGTTATTTTGTCGAAATGAACTTCCTCCTGTCTGCCCCCTACGGCAAAAATATGGATTATGAAATAAATATCAATTTTAGACAAAAAGCTATTGAGTTTTTTTTCATTCGTAAAATAACGCAAAAAGTGATTATTTGTCATCAAAACATTCATTATATATTTCTTCTACGATTATTTGCCGTCCGTTGCAAAACCTGGAAGAAATCATACCTCTTTTTATGACGAACATTTTTCCACTACTTCCGGAACCTGCAACCATTTTTCAGAACGAAATATTTTACAGAAATATTTCTTCAGTAGAAAGACTAATTACTGACTCCAGTTCTAGGATGTAAAATTTGGAATAGATCCAAATCTTCCAAACTCAATTCTTATTCCAAGCACTTGCACCCAGCCGGCACCCAACTTGCACCTGTTACGCTTCTGGGTCAGTATTGATGATTCGTTTGGCTTTGAGCGGGAACGTAAACACCCGCCAAAAATCATTCAAAGAGAAACAAGCTGAGAAGTCACTCAGATCACTACAGATGACTCATATTGATTATTTTAAATCCATCGAAGACAGTTTTCAATCCTGCATTTATTTCTTTAAATTTCTTCATTCTACCCGGTATATCAATCTGTTTTATAGTTTCATATTAGAGTACGCTAACCCTTTTCCAAAATTCCTTTGTTTGATTTCATGGGTTTTCTTGAAGTTGGCAAGATTCGGAGTTATTTGAATTTCTCAGCTGTCCAGAGAGTATAGCAGCAGTGCAGCAGTCTAGAATAGAGCAAGCCCCACCGATAGGGGATAGGTGTTATTGCACTGTGCTCCTAAAGCAACATATCCCTCACAGATGGTGCTGGTGTTGTTATTTACGCAAGCCAAAACATTGACAAAAAATGCATTTGGAGGCGGGGGTTGAAGGTTATGAGCACTGTCACTGCATGACTCTTCGTTAAATGAATCATTTATACGGCTACAATTGTGTATATTATGTGTCACATGATGGTTATGTTCAATGTTGCGCATGTTGCAGAAATTTAGCCGTGTGACAGGAAGTTTGATCTTTGTTTTTTGTGTAATTTCATCTGGAGTCCAAAGGAAATGAATTATCTAATAGACAAGAGAGACGGAGATAGAAAAAGAGTGAGAGAGAAATAGTGATAATAGCTTATGATTAATGCATTGTTGTTTGAAAATGCTCCGTAAGGGATATCTGACAAGACACCAGTTGTCACTGTGAAGTGAGAATACTATGCAGTGAAGCTGGTAATGTACAATTTTTCAGTGGTGCCAAGTGAAATGTTTATTATGACTTGTGAATATTCAATTCTTTTCTCTGCAGGTTTCTAAACAGTGATAACCATGGCATCAGGAAGATGCAAGTGTATTTTGGTCTTCAGTATTGGGAGTTTTTTGCTCTTACTTGGAGCAATTGTGGGAGGATTATGGGGAATTATATATGACAAAATGTTGCGGATGGTTTGTATTTTTCTTTTAGATAATTGTATTTTAAAGTGCATGAAAAATTAAGTTTTAAATATTATTTTATTTGGTGGCAAGTATGTTAAGAGTTTTTTAAATTTTTGAAATTCCAATTTATCAGTATTTTTAAACTATTTTATCATTTTTTATAAAAGGATACATTACTAATTTATAAACCTAGAGTGATGGTCTGTAGAAATTAAAGTTTGACTAAAGAAGATTTGCTGTCAGATGATCCAGCTGTATAGTATAGTCTGCTGTAGGTCAGTAAGTTTAACTGTCATTGTTATGTGTTGGGCAGGAGCTTGTGCTGACCAACACATCCAGAAGTTATCAAATGTGGAAAGACATTCCCATACCCATATACATGGAATTCTATATGTTTAATTGGACAAATGCTGCTGCAGTGGTGGCTAATTCTTCCATTAAGCCCCATTTTGAGCAAATGGGTCCCTATGTATTCAGGTAAGCGGTGTATAGTTCCTAGGACAACTAAAAAATGCATTCAGCATTACTTGTGATCTCTGTAAATTTTAATACTTTTTGCATTGCAATTTTGTAAGAACATTGTAAATTGTATTTACACTTTTATAAATTAATAAGTTTGCTAACTCCTTCTTGAATCATCTTATTAAAGGGAGGTTTTTTACAAGAAACAATTTCTCTTGACATAAGCAAATATATATCTAATTTTTAATGCCTCTAATAGTTAAGGGCAGTCATAAAGAAAAAATCTTAACCCTTTACTTTCTTGCCTTTACTTCATAAGAAGAGAAAGTACTGTTGTCATGTGCCAGAAAATGGCGTATTTTTGTTTGAAAATAAGCCCAGGAAACAAGAAAATACATTTATTGCCAGGCCCTGCTAAAGAACTAGTGAACTAGTGGTGCTTCAGCAGCACGTACCTTCTTTCTTTATTTCTTTCATTTTTCATAGAGTTCAATGAAAATGAGACCTGCAGCATTCTTTTAAGTGTTCCATGTTCTATCTGTAGAAAACAATATTGAAGAAATAGTTTGGCATTTCAGAATTTTTATTTTACAAATTGCATAAATTTCAAGGCTACAAGCTTCAAAGAAATGTTTCTCTCACTGTAATCTACAAGATGAGATGTTCTTAAGCATTCTCTTACATTTTGCTGTCCGGTGGTTCTTCATATTACCCCACCTGCTCAGAGGCTTGAAGAATCTGCAACTAAATGTGTATGAGAGGAACAAAGAGACAGTGGCAATGAGAGTGTGGAAGGAGAGTCAGGAAGAGAGAGACGTACATGAAGATAGAGTGAAAAACTTTTCAAACTCAGAGAACCTCGAGTTCATTTAAATCGGTCCGAGAATATTAATTTTGGAGAAAATTGGCTGAAGGGTTTAGATCAATGATGAACGGATGGACTGACTGACAGTCGGTCAGACGTTTTGCTGTCAATTGATTTTTCGGCATCAAAGACCCACCAAACATGAATTCTGGCTACACAATGTATTAGAGGAATGATTATACAGGACAGGTTTTATCCACTTTTTACATTCCCCTATACATACGTATACACGGAGTAATGTGCGTAGTACAGAGAAAGATATGTAATACTGCGGAAAATCGATAAAAGTCTATCGAAGATATCGGATAAAAAGTATTCCTTCAAGATATTGAAATAAGGTCATGTGCAATTTTTTGAAAATGTGAGTAATTTTCGGAAATGAATAATTTTGCATGAAATATAGGCAATTTTTATTTTTTTGAAACAATTTTTTCTCAGAAAAGGCTCCAATTTTTTTCTTTAAGTTATCTTTTTGTATCTATCAAAGAATGGTTAAGAAAATTGCAGGAAAGCGGTTTTGAAAATAGCAAAAAAGTTAACATTTCGTAACTACAAAATTGAAGAAAAAGATTTTTGCTTTAAATAGAATTCTTTTTAAAAAATAATCTCTAAAAAAGCTCATGTACAATTTAAAAAAAAAAAAAAGAGTAGTTTTCCCTAATTTGAGCTTAAAAAAACAACAAAATTTTTTTTCTCAAAACTGCTCCAGATTTTTTCATGTGTAGAATAAGGAATTTTTAAGAGAATGGTGCAAGTCTCATTTTCATTGAACTTACTGAATTTTTAAAAATTACATATTTAAAAATAACATGAGAAAGTGTGTGCTAATGTATAACGTCTAGTTTTTAGATTTTAACATTTTCTAATAAAAACTCCTATAACATCTTTTTCTTCATTTTCCCCTTTATTTGTGTATGTCAAAAAAGCAATATTTTGGGTACACAACTCTAATTTAGCTTAAATTTTTTGAATGATCCCATCTAGAAGATTAGGGTTTTGACTGAATGATTGCAGTTTCTTCTTTCAGTTGTTAGTATTGCTTGCTCTGCAAAACTTGTCCTACGATCCTAAGCTATTTAATTGGCAAATGTGTTTTATTTACTTGTTATGAATTTACTGATTTCCTGGAAGGTTTAATTTCACCATTGATTTCTGAATAATGACAGCTTATAGTAAATTCAACTCGTTGTTTCTAAAATTTCTTGAGAAATAATTTTCAATTTTGTAGAGGAAGTAATTATAATAAAAACAAATATAGGGTAACAAAATGAGTCTAGTGTATTTTTAATTTCTGGATTTCTACACAAATGTATAGAAAAAATTATGTAAAAATTACAAAAAACTGACCAAGATATATAAATCTGCAAACAGTCAATTAAAACTATTTCTCCAAGTGTAAAATTATATAACATTGGTATAATAGTTTCTTAGACAATGGGTCAGATGTGCAGCCACATTAACGTGGGAGAGATTGGGCTGTATGACTCCTTACTTACAAGTTTTACAACAGTTACAGAACTTTGTTACAGAGAGTATCATCACAGGGTGAATATGACCTGGAATTCCAATGACACCATAACATATCAGCAAGTGCGCTCGTGGCACTTCCAGCCTGATATGTCCAATGGGAGCCTCTCTGACAATGTGACTAATCTCAACATGGTGGCAGCAGTATGTGTGATTGTTTTTGCTTCTAGAGATTCTCCTGTGATATTTATTAGGTTTTCTTACTAAATAAAGACTATTTCTTTTGATTATGATTAGAATATGTATTGTAGTGGAGATGTTACGAAAACCATCATTTAACTCTTTAAGAGAAATATTGAAGTAATAATTCTGCAATTCCAACATGTCCTTTTTGTTTCTAGACTGTGGCATTTCAAACACGTTTCATGAGTTATTTTAAAAAATTTGGGGTGGATGTTTTGATGCGGGCTACTCGTTCAAGACTGTATGTTACAAAGACAGTGAAGGAGTTGCTGTTTGATGGCTACGATGACAAATTGTTGGATGTAGTAAAGAACTTCACACATAAAATTCCATTTAAGCGTTTTGGATACTTTGTGGAGGTGAGACAAATAGTTACTTGGTTTTATTTTACCTGCCTTGAATTTTTCACAGAATCAATTGGTGACTACATTTGCAGCCATGATGTACATAGAGAGGTCAGGTGTGGAGTTAGGGATTCAAGTTTTTGTATGATGTTGAGTATTCTATTCTACATTCCATGTACAGTATATATGAGGAATTACAATATTCTTTAACACAATGTTTTTTCAAACCCATCTTTAAAATCTCCTAATCTTGAATGCATACTGGTACTCAAATGGGGCTGCTGTAGTGAAGTGAATCGAAGGTGGAATGAGAGACAGGAGAAACTAGAACACCCTGAGAAAACTTGCTGCAAATATGCGTTGTCCATCACAAATTCCTTATGAATCAACAGGGAATATTGAACTATGGTCCCAGGGGTGAAAGAGGAGTGGTCTGACCACCACACCAGTTGCCTCTTGTAAGGTTTTGAGGATTTGTAAATGTAATTCTGTTAGGGAACAAATTGAATCATGTCATTTGTTCTGCATGGTTTATCTTTAGAGTTGGGTTCCTTATGTAATTACAATTCTGAGTACAGTTATCTAAATTGTAATCCTAACACAATATTCAAATTTTTCCCTTTTTTTTGCTTATTTTGTACTTATTACATATTTTTCTGATATATTACATAAAAAAAATTCAATTGAAATTATTTAGGAAAAAATATGTACTTAAATTTCAAAAATTGATTTATTAAAAAAACAACCATGTTTTATTTATTCTATGATATGTGTGCAATATTGCTGAGAACATGAACTTTAGATGTGAAAAGAAATGGGGACATCATGTTTTTGGAACTTAAATTGCAAGTTTTGAGAAATATTGGCTTTTGCAGACAAGTGCTTTGAAGAGCGTAACAGTGATTGTTTGCTGGTCATTGACTTCCCATTTTTGTGCAATGACATTTATTGTTGCCAAAAATAAAAATGTACTCTTCAAAAAACAAACATACAAACAAACACTTAAATTCAGTAGGCAAAGCAAGTTTTATTTTTAAAATTGATTTAATATACTGTAATAACTTTGAATATACATTTTAGTGTATTAGATTTTATATATTAGTTACATATTTTTATAATTTTATCTACATATTTATGTACATATTTTGCTGTTTTGTTCTACATATTTTTCTAAACCCTACTTATCATTATCTCAAGAACCCTCCACATTAGGAGTTATAAGCCCAAAATCTGTGTAGAACAGAACAATAGTAATGGTTTGATTTATCTTTTATTATATTATTTTTATTTAAAATTATAATTTATAGAGAGTAGAAATCTGATTCTGCCTGGATTATGAGTAAAGTTATAATTAAAATTGTAATTCATAATTAATAATTAATTAGCCATACTGTAATTGCCAAATTTCTCAATGTCAAAGTTGCATTGCCCAGTTTCCGTATTTTCTTCATCCTTATTGGTTTAAGGTCCCGAGTTGTCTGCTATGTCAGCTATTTGGGTTTGGGTTTGGTTTTGACCATCTTAAACTTTATGATCTACTCACTATTGCTAATATTAGTACTAATTAGTTTTTTATTGATATTACTTAAATTTCAAGAGAGCTTGGAATTTGTTACTGTAACTTCTTGCTGCATTATGAAATTTGTATTTAATTTCTGACCTACGAGATGTAAAAATTGAGGAAATTTTTCTGCAAGTGTATTGGCAGACAACCTTTTTTCATTTATTTTGGAGCGTAATTACTTTAAGCGATGTGAGTTAAATGCCCAATTAAGTTCATGAAAATCTCTTTTTACAGCGCAACAATTCTGCTTCAGCTGATGGAATCTTCAATATGTGGACAGGAGCATCAGATTTGCATCAATTGGGCATGATGGAACAATGGAACTATAAGCATAATACTGGACTTTATAAACAACCTTGTGATCTGGTACACGGTTCTTCTGGAGACTTGTGGCCTCCAGTAACAGGTCGCAACAGTGTGCATATCTTTGCATCTGATCTGTGCTTGTAAGCTATATAAAAAAATGTACTTATTAAAATGGAGGAATTGTAGCATTTTCAAAATGCATTGAGTTTCAAGTAGATGTTAAATTGTGTCTGTTTTCAAGCCTGGGTTAAGTAATACAAATAAGAAATAATTATAATTATAATGATAATAATAAATCTTGCTGCTGGTGACAATAAATAACATAAAGAAAATATGGAGTAGGAAAAAACATTACTTACATTTTCACTCTCAAGGTGTGAAATAAGATTTAAAATGCAATTTTTTTAACTCTTTCCTATGTTTGCAGTAAATACTGCTTTGATGCACCAATATGTTCTTTGAAAATATGATACACGTTTAGAGCAGAAAGTTATTTATAATTTGGTTTACATGATACATGTAGCATTTTTTATTAAATCTCTTCTATATTGATATGGTTCTGATACATCTGTTGACATTGTTAGAGACAGGCTTTTTTAGAATTTGTTGTGTCTTCAATTAAAGTAATGTATTTCCAAGCCCCTTGAGGGCATTGAGCGCTTTGCGCTTTCAGAGTAATTCTCCATTAACATCAGCACGGAGATAATCCTCCATTAATATTTCAGTATGTCGTATCCGTCACGTCTTTTTTTTGGGGGGGGGGAACAAATTTTACATGAAAATGTCTGGTATTCAACGGGAATCTAACTTGGGCCTCTTTGGTAAAAGGCGAGCGGCTTCGTTCTGAGGCACCAGATGACATCAATTTGAACATAATTTATTTCATAACATAATACTAAAGTGGGGGGAAAAGCTCAAGGAGACATCAATTGAAATTAATCCCTCTTATGGGGTAGAATATCTTATTCCAAAACTTTGAGTTTTGTTTTTCCCTTTTTACCAGGTTGTACAGGAATATAATAGAACAGTAAGAGAGGAGTGGTGCATCGTGTTCTGCTTGACAGCTGTTTCACTGAGTACTTTTGTTCTGTGTTTATGCAGCTCCCTCCAGCTGTACTCTGCTGGTGCTGAAGAGGCACATGGGCTTTCTGGGTTGCGCTTCGTGGGAGATAATCGCACTCTGGACAATGGGAAGCACTTCTCTGAGACTCAGTGCCAATGTGTTGGAGATTGTCAGCCTTCTGGCACTCTCAATGCTAGTGCTTGCCGCTTTGGGTCGCCACTTTTCGTATCCTTCCCGCATTTTTATTTGGCTAATTCATCATACTTAACACCACTGCAGGGTCTCAAGCCAGACAAGAATCATGAATTTGCGATTGTTCTACAACCTGTGAGTGCTTTCATTGGAATTTTATGTTTAATAATTTTTGTGCCTTGATGATCAGAGTTCAATTTATTCGCGTCATGACAGTTTCAAGCTCATCTTTTACTGTTTATATTTATATAATAATAACAAATTATTATTATTATTATTATTATTATTATTATTATTATTATTATTATTATTATTATTATAATTAAAAAAAGAATTACTAGAAAAAGTGAACTTCGAAATTTCTTTTCTTATCATTGAGTATTTTTGCTTTCTTATTTATGCCCTTTTTCACTTGATTTCTGATTGTGTGAATTTTAGACTTTTGTTTTTTAATATGTACTAACACTGAATTAAAAAAGAACCTGCAAATCTTTTACGAGTGTCTTTGTCACAGAAAAAAATTAATATGGTCATTAGAGCAGTCACCAAACTCTTTCTGTGGTTAGAGATGGAAGTTTGAAATTCTTTTCCATATTTATACAATTTTACTTACATTTGATGTCATTACAGGATATAATTTTGTAACAGTATATTGCACATAAACATATTTTGTTTTGCAGGAAACTGGAATGCCCTTGCACGTGGAGGCAAAACTGCAGCTGAATGTATTGGTAGAGCGATGGCCACATTTAAGGTTAGCAACCCAGTATTACTTTCTAGCATACTTTGCTAGAAAGCATAAGTTGTGTTATGCTGCCACAGAAAGTGTCATTTTTTCACAGAAAAACTTGTTTTGTGGGTCCCGGTTTCCAGAAATGTGCTTTTGTTTCCTTTGTTAGTAAATTATTTTTTTTGAATCTGTAGTGAAGTTAGAACCTACTATTTGGGTTCTTGATTACAAAAAGGGGCATTTGGCAAAATGTCTGCCACGAGTCTGTCCATAAACAACTCTTAGTGCCATAACCGTGCAAAGGATTATCCCTAGAATGTGATATGGTTATTTTATTTCTTTGGGGTGCTTTACATTGTGAAATTTTCTCAAAAATGACTTCAAATTCTCTTTGTTCATTTTCTGCTAAAATAGTTCAATATGCTTAAAATGGTGCAGGTCTAATTTTCATTGAAAATTTTTTTCTTTCGAAATATAAAACCTGATATTCCACCCAAAACTCAAGATTCACAGATGGTGTTGTGTCTCAGTGAGTTGCTATGCCGACTGTAGAATCTTAATACCTAGGTTAGTGCCTCTGCCCTGTCTGATATGTTTTGGAATTGGAAAGATTTTTGTGGGTTCTACTAAAGTACAAGATTATGAAACATATTATGAAATAATATGAGAGAGTATGTGCTGGTGCGTCAATACATAATTCTCTTTCTATTTATGTTGAAGTATTTCTAATTTAAACTTGCATGCTTTATAAGCACATGATTCTAATCTTTTCTTCTTATTGTCCACAGTGTTTTCAAACATGTTCCTCAACGTATGTATGTGCCCATGCTGTGGTTTGCGCAACTTGCCGATTTCCCTCCAGATCTGGCTGCCGAGGTGCGCACCCTTGTGGCCATTCCTGCCATCGGGAGAGGCACACTTTTTGGCATTGCTGGTCTCGGTGCTTTTATTTTACTTGTGGGTGCATTAGTGACCTGGAAACATGGATGGTCAGCAGAGACCCAGGACCACGAACCTCTTCTACCTGCACAAGAAGGTGCATGCATTAGTGAATAAGCTGGAATCTACTCTTGGTTTGTATTTTATTATGATTTTTAAGAATACTTGAGTGACTTTAGACTTTGTTAATGACAAGTTAGTGTAAATAGTAAATGTATGCTTGTTTCCCTCTGGTATGTTGATATAATAGCTCATGAGAGTGTGGATTTAATGTTTTCCCTCTGCTAAAGCCTTCTCTGTTCAATTGTACTACAAAAAAAAGTTACTTGTTGATGAATGCAAAATCTAATTTGTTATTGATTTATTTACATTAAAGTTAGGAATTATTTAGAGTGGCCCCTAGTTCATTGGAGATCTCTCTACCTGTAGGGTCTCCTCCTTTGAATACAATCTTCATTCTGTTCTTTGAGAAGTAAGGTGTCTTTCAATGAAATGTAAACTAAGAAATACGGCCAGTTTAGGACTAGGATTGTAATTTTTATTTAGTTTTTATCTGTGGGTCAGCATTTTATAGGCCTAAGTTTGCCAGTGATAATTTTTATATAGCTTATTAAATGGTAAATGTATCTATCTTCCTTGTGAATAATTTTACTTTTACCACCCCACTTTTGCTTCTGTTAAATTTTGGATACTGTTGTAACTGCTCACAAAATATTGGTTAATATCAATATGTATGTTAGTTTTTGATACACTGAAAAAAACTGGGATCACTTGACTGAAAACACTCATTCTAGTTTTCGAACCAAGAAATTGCATTTCTAAATATGTTGTCATCAATTCTAAATATCAGTTAAGATAGTGTAACTTGTATCTTGATCAAGATAGTCTAAACATATTGCTTTTGATTACTTTACCCACAATTGTCTTTATCTCTGCAGTAAGACGGAAATATTGTCTTCAAAGTTGTAGAATTTGCATAAGGTCTCATGTAGATGTTTAAAATCTATCAATGTTAACTTCCATAATGTAGAATGGTACTGTTCAGAATCCTCTTCGCTAGCCAAAGAGCTCTTGAAACAAAGAAAGTATGAAAGACATCCGAGGATTCTGTTGAACAATGATTTTTATTTTATTGAAATGGTTTTGATTTATTATAATTGTAATTATAAGGGGTGATCTTTAGTTATTCTTTGAATTCAAATCTTGTGAATACAATTAGTATGTGACCGAGTGTAATAAAATATTGCGGGTTGTACTTTTGGAACTTATGCTAATTAAGAAGAATGCTACTTTAATATCTTATCTTCCATTTTGAATCAATGAAAAACTTGTACGTATGTATTGTATGTTTGTAAATATTTGATTTCATGTTAAATTCATCTGTTGATTATTTTACCAAATTGTTGGTGCATAAAGAAGTAAGTATAGTGTTGCTCTTGTATTTCTAATGTTTTGAGATATTTTTAATTGAGTGTTATAAAATATTGTAATAGTCCATTTTTTTAATTGTATATCGATAATCAATTTTTTACGTTGTTGAAACTTTTACTATGCAGTTTTTGGTATATTGATGTGATATTATTTTGAGCAAGATTATTGCATTGCAGGATGGTTTCGTTGAAGGGCAACAATTTAGGATAAAGTGAATAAAAAAGTGAAATATCTTGAGGGTAACAAGAATATTATCTTGTTATCTTTGTACTTATGGCTGTGAGTGTTGAAATATTTTGGTTATAAAAAAGACATTCCATCTCTTACAGATTCTCTTTCATTCAGTTGTTCAGTTTGTTAATCCTGTGCATTATCAACATTAGAGAAGCAATTTGTTAGAACTTGAAGTGTTTCTTCACATCATATCTTTCTTTTAAAATCTTTCAGAGGATTTTCTGAGTACTGTCTTTCTTCTTTTCATTTCTTTTTAGATCGTTAATTTTCATGCAAATTTCGTGCATTCAATTTTTTCTTGCTGTAAAAGGTTACGTTTCTATAAATTGTTTATCAATATAATAATGATATTGAAAAGGCAGTATGCCCTAGGAATGAGTTTCTGAATGCTTTCATAGTGGTAAAGTTGAAATCTATATATCTAAAGTGCAAAACACATTCATGTAGGAATCCAATAACGTGCCTTTTCATTGAATAGCGTCTAAGAAAACCAAAATTGACCAAATGCACAATGAGAGGATGCAATGAGAAATGTGCAAATAAAATATTTCAAAATCAAGGGCAATTAATAATTTTTTTGGCGCCATGAAGACAAAATGTCACAATTTTGTGGCATGAATGAAACAGGATAAAATGACCACATGTTGGTACATCCTAGTAATGCCGGAGGCAGCTTTCTTTTAAACCAGCTGTTCAATCTATTAATGTAAGTAAGTTGTGAGAGGTGTCTTGCAAAGCAGTAATACATATTGTTGTATTGTTGGTCTCCTTTAATTTGCCACACAAAATACATATATGATCTGGTCCTTTTCACTCAGATAAATTAGTGAAACACTTTAATACATGGTAAGTGTAAGTAAATAAGTGATTTTTATCTTTGTGTAAGATTGATCATCTGGGATTTCCCCACGATTGGGATGGTCTACTCTCTGGATCTTTACCCTCTGCCTCCAGTTGTCTCACCCCCTAATGCCACTTACACGAGACTTTCAGGAAATGATAATTAAACACATGTGTTAATAATTGTACCTCATTGGGGTATCCAGTTTATGCTTTAACATACTATTGCACTTGTACTGTAGAAATAATTTCTTCGGGAAAATTCACACTTATTTACATTAATAAATAAAATTTGAGAAGCTTAAGAAAAGTAGATGTATACTAAGAAATTTAGTATTAGTTGGAGTAATTTCCATCATGAAAAGAGAAAAAAGTCACGTGATGTTCCTCAGGTGTTGTGAAAGTGTGGGTAATGATGAAAAATTGTCTCTTAGCAATACTATTTATCAAAGACTGTATTTTTTTACTGATGAGTGAGGTGGAGTTCTTCCATGCATTTAGCAGCTGCGGAATGCCGAGGCATTCTGCACTAAATTACCTTTAATACTTAGTTGACAATAGAGACTGCTGTACTTAATGGCAGTGCATTTTGTGACTGATAATATAGTTGTTCTTTCCTCTATTAACTATTCATTACTATTACTAGACTAGGAAGGGGACAATTTCAGAATGAAAAATGTATGCAGGTAAATATGAAACAATGTTAAATAAATTTATTTGTTTTACTGTGTGTTTTATTTCCTGAAATACCGTAGTTAGTCTTATTTCTATGTACCGTATATACTGGGAATATATCCTGCATATTTTTTTTTAAAAAATGGCTGAAAATTGGGGTTTGGTTAACATTTGAGTCAACCAAAAGTTGAAAGGCAAGAATTAAAGCCGTTTTTGACAAAATCATGTTTTTGTAATTTTTTACAATAGCAAATATTGCACGTAATATTGCACAAAAACTACTAAGTTTAAAAAAAATGTACAACATCTTCATGAAAGAACTTACAATGGACAATAAATTTTATTTGAAGGAAAAACCTCTACTTTAAATTTTGTAGTTGTAGGAAGTTGCGGACATAATTCAAACTTTGTAATTTTTGAGAATTCAGTGTTAATCATGAATATCAGATCTATGTCATTTTTATAAGTGTATTACTCCATTCTTACAAGAAATTTAAGGAAAAAATTTGGAGCTGTTTTTGAGAAAATTTTGAAAAGGTCGTTGGAGCTTAATGTAAAGTTCCCCCAAATTTTAAAGAAAGTTTTTCAATGTCTCAAAGCTTCGACTCAAGCCAAATAAACTGGGGATTCTTCACTTTGGAAAAAAATCTTTGCATGGTTTAGTACCAGTGGTGTTCACAGACGGCCGGATAGACGGACGTTTTGAAACAAAAACATTTTTTCGGTATATGGGGACCCCAAACCGTGTATTTCTTCTGAAATCTCGAAATCGATTTTCCACCGCAGCATAAAAAAATTCGCCTATACGACGTACATTACTCCATATATACGTATATGGGAAAGTAAAAACCGAATGTAATTCGTTCAATTTAACGCATGGGTTAATTTAATATACCGTTTGGCAGTCCAAAAGTATTCAGGTTGTAGAGTAGTGGAGTGCATAGTGGAATAGCAATCTTACTATCATCTATTTTAAGTAAATTGATATCACTTTTGCTCAAAATGAATCGTTTGTTTCTTCGATCATCAAATTACGTTGGTCAGTTCAAAAGTTATGAGAAAGGGAAATTCCACTGTAAGCTAGTGATGCTGCAACAGCACGTATTCTCTCGCATTATTTATAATGGCTACGCAGTATTAATAATACTACGTGAACCTGCAAAAGTGTTTCCAACCAGCAGAGACTTTCTCTCCGCGCTGGGGTAGAAACCAGGTTCTAAGAGTTAACCTGTCAGATTATCCCTACACCACCAGTCACATAGGTACAGTCAACTTTTCAGACGCGTACACGAATGTTGAACTTTTGCATTTCCAATTTTAAAAAATTCATAATTTTAATTTATACTATTTTAAGAAAGTATCACAGCCTCTTCCCGAACAACACATGTACTACCCTTATGAGACTAATTATCTTAGCAGCCGACGCACTCGGAATCCCTAGGAATCAATTTGAACGCGCTGAATTTTCGAAAATTAGAAGTTAGAAACAATGCGAGAAAGTATGTACTTTTGTACTTCCACTATCTTTCTCTAGGTGCCCCTACCCGTTCACCTGAAATTTTTCAGGAACCGGTCCTGGTATGTGTATGAGTGTGTGTGTGTGTGTGTGTGTGGGGGGGGGGTGGATTTCGGGTTAAAATCGTAGTGATGGAGGAGGCGGCCTGATTCCTGCAGCCACCGTGCTCCGCCTGCGCGAATCCTCACGTGCTGCCGCATGCCTCGTGGGCAGATAAGGCCTCTATGCGCGGGTCAGTCACGGGTCGCGTGCACTGGCGAACCACCTTACGTCACAGGCACGCCCGTAACTCAGCCTCGACACCTTCGGAGGGCGCTGAGAGGTCAGTCCCCGCGCTCCGAACCGGGTGAAGGCCGAGGTCAACCGCTCAGTACTACCGAAACCTGAATTCCTTGGCTCTTTTTTGTGGAGATGTCTTCAGAGTGGGGGAAATGATTCAGATTATTTCCACTGGTGCTGGTACAGAACGTATCCTCAATTTGATGCAAAACGGGATTGTTATACTTACTATCGTCAGGCAGAGCGTCGAACCGTGCCGAGGGAAGGAGGGGTGGTGATGGGAGTCGCTCCATCCCCAAGTATTTACCGGGGAGGGGACGAGGATCCACAACAAACATTTGTGTAATGACAAATAGTGCGAATTTGTATGTAAAACTATGAAATTTTATGGAACGTGTTCATTAGGTACAATTAAATAAAACAAATTCAACACAAATGATATTTGTTCGCTTACAAACTCGCTTACTCGCTCAATTTTCTTCAATATTGTGATACAATTACTGGGTTATTATTATTAGGTGATAATTAGGGGGTAGACTTTGATGACTTAAAACATCGCCAAAAAGGATCAATAAAATACTCTTAAAATGTTTTAAAAATGCCCTAAAAGCAAAGAAAAATTACGTAAAAAATATTATTAAAACAAGTTCAGAAGAACAACTAACTGTTGGATATGATACTGAAGTAATCGAGACTTCTTCCTTTCGTTCAAGATAACTCAGATTGCAAAGTGCGGTTTGCACCGTTCTTTACCACGAAATCACAATCTTTAGCCACCCCGAAATCGGCCGAACCAATACGCCAATGCCAAACCAATCGCTGATAAGCGTCTTAGGGACTTTAGATTACATACAACGGATGCCACTACCATTTCTGAGCGAAGAAATCGAATAGGCTACTCAGGAATTCTGTGGAGAACATATTGCACCAAGTAAATATTATTTGAAGAAAATACCTTTAAATAGATATTAAAATCGAAGTAATCAGAGAAAAATGCTTTAAAAATAACGGAAAATGTTTTAAAAAACTTGGACGTTATCAACGAAAAATGAAAAAAGTCATAGTAATGGATCACTTCCTTTTGACATAACATAAATTTTATACTAAAAGACATTGTTCTAAAGTGAAACTTGTTATTAAAATTCGTTACATAGAAATAATAATATTACTACTGCCCTAAGACTTTTTTTCGCTAATCAGATAAGAGTTCGTCGTTCGGCGTTTTCATTACGTGATGAACGAGGTACTGTTTTTGATTTTCTGGTAAGTGTACTATAATCAGTGTTGTAGCGCCACATGTGTTTCCATGGAAATTCTATATAAGAACGAACGTAACTCCTAAATCCTTCCATGAAACTGACAAATCCTAACTGTTAATGTCACATATCATTATCGTTCCACCAGGTGAAGGTTATTAAAATCAGGAAATCCTTCCAAAGGTATCATTTCCCAGAATTGGCATTCTGTGTATTTTATGTGTGTTTCACGGACGGGTTTTGCGCATTGGAACTCAGAAACTTGTCCTTATTTCTTTTGAATTTGCTTTTTTATCCAAGTCATTATCGAAATATAAGATTTTAATTCTAATTCATTCTTGGCTACAGTTTGAATCACGTTCTGCATTTCCGCATCAATCGAGTATATTTACCGGGAGAGATGGCTCACGGCATCAACTGGTGTCACTGCAGTCCCACTGACAGGGCGGTCCTAGGCCCAAGTCCCGACGGTGGAAGGATTTTCGGCTCTAGCTTGTCAGCTAGGTCGAATTCAGTCGCTGTTTGGAAGAGAATTCTAGCGACGGGCTGCTCTGATCGGTAGTTTTACGTGGATTCTCCAGTGAACCCTACCAAACGAGCCACGGACCGTACGCGATCTTTCCTTCCTCTTCCTTGTCCTGTCCTCTCCCCTTACACACACACTAACACGCATTACACAACACATGCTGGGAGAACGGTCGGGAGCTTAGAGCTTGTTCCGGTTGGGGCGGTGTCCCGCTGTTGGGAGATACCTGATAGGGGAAAACCGCGGTAACCGATGGTAGATCGGCGCTGAATCTCACCATACAGCGAGGGAAAGATCACTGCCTCCTCCCGAGCAAAAACACGCTCTACACTTAAAGGTCTAAAGACCGTGGTAGTTGACGTGCCCGGAATCACTAAAACAATCAATCAATCGAAAATATTTGTTGGTGAGGAAACTGCCAATCTGACCCTTGGTATATTATACAAGGAATCTACATCCCAAACGAACTCCAAAAGAAGTTTAACTGGTACTTCATGGGATGTAAACTATTCACACGATACACTGATACTCCATCTATTTTCTTGCTCTACTTTGCTTCCCGGTAGGCGTAGTAAGAGGGGGAATAATAACAGTTCAGAGTATGTGCAGTTATGTACAAGAAGTTATTTCACAACTTGCATGTATTTCGACGCTTCTGTTGTCACGCAATGCTAGCGTATCATCTCCCACATGGACCAGGTGAAAATGAGTCCTCTGAGCAAAGAAATGGGTTGAATAGAGGCTATCTCATGTTGAGAAGGATCTACTAGATATTGAATTTAGTAGGCGGGGCACTATCATAGCTCCATGACATTATGTAAAATAATTTTCCGTATACCAAGGAAATTTCGTCAATAAAAGACAAAATGTATTAGCCCAACATATGTATTTAATTAATAATAATATTCATTGCTAACAGTGATTATTACATGGCTCATTGCCAAGGTCTAGCACACCTCTGTAATACGAGTAGTGCAACTCACGTTCAAGAGGTTTCACAAAAATATTTACATAATTTAAATGACTGTTTCTTTTTTTGTAAAATTCTATATTATTTTCATTTATCATTTTGCTTTAACTGAACTTGTTGACTTCATGTCTCTCGTGAAAGCCCCCTGCCTGAAGTCGCGACTGGTCTTATGCCGCCATGTGAGTCTGCGGTCTCGAAGTCGATTCCTTGCCTTCGAACCGCGGCGGTTGCTCGGCGTGCGCATCTCGACCATGGGAACTACAGGCTTCTGTTTATAGCGGCAAGGAACAGAGCGCGCAAGTGACAAACGGAAAATTACATCCTCCCATTGTCATTGTTACCATTATATATTATATGGTTGGGTGAAAACCAGAACTCTATTAGTGACATTGTATAAATTCTGAGGAAATTGACTCTCAACGGGCTTTGCCCCGCGCAATATCACGTAAAAGGAAGTTTGAAACTGAAGCAAACAATCGCGCATCGCCGCCGCCAGTTGAAGCCC